TGTGAACACACCCAAAGCTGATGGGCATTGCCATTAAAATGATGCGCGTGCGCCACTCTTGTGATCAGTTATGTGTGGTGGGGCTTATCTGCACCCCGCCCCAATGTTTTATTCAAGTTGGCACCCCTGGTGGGTGAAAATTACAATGCAAAAGAAAACCTTTTCGCTTTATCTCCCTTCTCCCTTATTTTCCTTCAAGTTATAACCGACATCAGTTACATTATCAAAGGTTCCCTTACCTTTGCTAGTTTCACCAGAGGGCTGCAAAATTTGGAAGCCGTCGGTGTTTTTTTATTAAATTGATAGGGCTTCCTGTCGCTCTGTCATTTTCGGTTGAAACCAGAGATGAGCCAGGATGAAATGGACAAAGACTTCCTGGACCCTTTAAGGAACAATAGGGAAAACGTAGGCTGTAAATGGTCGCAAAGCACATTAAAAGTCGGGGAATTCTCTTGACAGTTCGTAAATCGCTTAAAAATGCGCGCGTGTTCTTTCTCTTTAAGAAAAAAACCCCCAATACAGTATTTTATTCTGGGCAAACTGATCTATGATTCCAGCCTACCCTCCAGTTAAATAATTCTGAAAGGGAGGGATGTAAATTGGGGAATGTTCCTTTTACCTCTCAACCTGATTCACACGTGGGTGTTTGTGCTACCGGGAGGAAGGCTAAGGAAAATGGGGAGGAACACAATTAACAGTTGTGTTGATTTCAGCAGGTGTAGTAGGTCACGTGGCAAACTACCCCTAATAAAATCCCGTCTTCTACAACTCCGCCTCCTTTCTTCCATCTGGCTACACTAGCAGCTGCTGGTAGGTATCTGTGCGTTTTCTCAAACTCAAATGTTCGTAGGGAGAAAAGGGAGAAAACAAGAAGCGCTTCCACGGCCACCTTCCTTTGGAGAATCTCTCGGCAGCTCCTCCTATTCAATAAAACCCCTTTTGCAACATTAAAAGTAGATCAGACACTTTGGAGGCGGGTGCGGGGAATTAAAGGGGACAGAACGCGATTGGGACTTACAGTCAAGTAGTTATCTCTTCCTCTGTTCCAAATATGTATTATTATTTTTATTTATTTTGGCCGCCGTCTATATTCCCAGGCAATGCCTTTGTCCTTCGCCTCCCCTTTGGGAGGTTCTACTCTTAGGAAACAATGTTTGCCCAGAAAACGCCTCATGCGGCACAATCTTATACAAAACTGCTCAATAAGGAGCCCCACCGTGTTAAATTGGTTTATTCTCAGGAATATGTTCGCAGAGCAACCGCCGGGAAGTGTGATGGGCGAAACTGGATGCGATCATGTCGCACGGTTTCTTGCATTTCCCAATAAGATTACCGTATTAGTTTATTTTAGGGGGGGGCACTTTGAAGGTTATCAGATTTATTCCGGCATAAGATATCGTGGACCATTTAGATGCATGAAATGTTTTCCTGTGTTGAAAGTATAATATGCTTCCATATGCTGTTGCGGGGAGGGGGTGTAAACGGTGAAGCCAGAAGGATACTATGCGGAAAGTACGAATGTGCAAGTGACAATCGCACAAGTAACCTGTCACATAAATGGAATGCGGCACACTGTACTGTAATTTACAGCTAGTTGGTCGTTCTTTACCATCGCTGTCGCGATTCCCGCTTCTCCCATAAGCCTCCAGATAAGGTTTATTAATCTGTGATTCCGAATTTCAGGATCGCCCCCCCAACTGATGCCAAAGTTTTGTGCTGCGAACCCCGCGTTTTGTGCGACTCCCCAAACCGAGTAATTGACAAAACAAATCGGAGTCACAATTAATGTCAAAAATCCATCCTTGTCCCATTGACTCCAAACCAGTGCCAAAGTTTGGTGCCATTTTGTGCCTCAACACCCCCCCCTGCTTTCCCAGCCCCCCCCAGCTATTGGCACTCAAAGATGAGTGGTCCTTGGCTGAGAGAATGGGCTGGGTAGAACTGGATGCTAAGGAGCTCCTCATCTTTGAGAGATCTCGGATGAACGCTCCTTTTCCTTTGGTTCATTTTAACCTTCCCTGTTGAAGGTAGGACTACGGATGTTTTCACAGTACAGTACAAGTTGACAAGACCTCCTTTTTGAACACTTCATGTAGTAAACGCTGTTGATGTAGGGAGAGCGGAAGAGAGTTGGAAACAAAACTGAGCGCCAGTGCCGGTTGCATCTTGGGCAGTCATTGCTGAGATGTGATGCGGAGCGAAGGCTCTCCACCTTCCTCCTCCTCCTCCTCCCATCTTAGCAACCCAGTCTTTGACCAATAGCTGGTGCCGTCTAAGGAGGCGGGCGAAGGTGGTGGTCGGAGAGAGACTTGCATTTCCCCGCCCGCCTCCTCCCGGCGAGCATCCTTGGAGCACCATCTGCCCGCAAGGCACACGTGGCTCCTCCTTAAGCAGCCGCTTCTGGTAGGCGCAGCGTCGAGGGGCGGCCAGAAGAACCGTCGCGGAGCAAGTTGAGCAACTCCGGAGTGAGTAGCAGCTGCGGGCAGCAAACTTCCCTTCCTTGCCTGGCTGCCTTCCATCCCGGGAGCCTCTGACGTTGCCGGGGAGCGGGAGGCGTCCAAACACCATAGCTGTCAACGTTTCCCCCCCTTTTTAAAGGGAAATTCCCTTATTCCGAATAGGATTCCTCGCAAGAAAAGGGGAAAGTTGACAGCTATGCCAAACACCTGCTAGTGTAGATGCCTCCCAAAGAAAATCGGGGTGGCTCCAGTTCTTGAGCGAGCGCCAGATCACTTTTGCCAGCAGAATTACTAGGGGAGAAGGGATGCTGCTTTCTGCAGGTGTTTGGGAAGAGTATTGCGGCTTTAGCTGCGGGGCGAGGACCGCTCCTTAGTCCAAGGCGTCTCGCCTGCCTCCCACTCGAGCCTGCCGGCCAGCCGGGACACATCTGCCCTGCGAGGGCCCGCTTCTGCCCTTGGGAGGTGCTCGTTGCTTAAGCGGAGTAGGAAGCGCACGGCCCCCTCTGTCCCTTGCCAGCGATGGAGAGCCAGATCTGACGGGTAGGACTGGTGCTGGTGCCCTCGCTCCGGAAGAGGAGGTGGCTGGGCTGGCGACACTGGTCCTGGGTCTCTAGGGCAAGAAAACAGGGAGGTTCTGGGACGACAGCAAGCCCTGCTACTGCAGTGGGCCAGATCCCAGACGTGGACCACAAGTCCCTTTAAAGATCTCACTGATGGTTAAGTAGGGAGCATCAAGGAGTCTTTAACTGGTCCCTGGAGTCATTTTTATTTCATAGGCAGAGTAACTTTCCCCGCATGGATTCTGAATAGCATCCCTCGCTTTTTAGTGTCTCTGTTTGGCTTATTCATTCCCAGAAGGGCGCCTCTGCCGTGGAGCTCAATGGGACTTATCTCCCAGAGAAGAAAAGGGTGGTCAGGATCGCAGCGCAGGAGGGCCTCCTCTGTGCGCAATCCGACGTCTTTCAGGAGGTTGGGCGGCTGCATCTCTTTTGGGTCCGCTGCAGAAGGGGGCATTTCAGCTGGTCCTGGCCAGCCATGGAAGGTGCAGGAGGAGCCCCCGAGTGGGGAGCATCGCTGTCAACTTTCCCCTTTTCTTGCGAGGAATCCTTGACATCTATGGTGGGGAGCGCCGCCTCTGCGAGAGCTGCTTGCGGAGGCGCTCCTCGAGCTTTGGTGGAAAGGGAGCACCGTCAGGGCGAGGAGACCTGCGGGAGCAAGACCACGAAGCGCCGCTTTCCTGGACCAGAGCTTTCCCAAAGTCACACATCCCTTCCAGTGCAGCCCCTAGGAGTGTTTGCTCGCGAGTAGCTCCATCCGAGTTCAAAGGAGCTTATTCTTCCAAGATGCGTTTACAGCCTCGTCTTAGGCAGCTTTATTCAGAAATAAGCCTAGCATGATATGGGAAACTAAAAAATGAACACTGACAGGCATTTCCTCCCCTTACTTATTCTACCCCATGAAAAGCAGCACGGGGAGATTTTTTTATTACTTGGGGTTAAATACATCCCCTCCCCCCCAGTGATTTATTTTGAATGTTTCTGGCTCCCAAGCACTGTAAATGGTGAAGGGCTGGAATTTAGGAAAGTGGTTTAAAACCACCCTGCAGATGGCAATCATTAAGAGGACGGTGTGGCGGGTCTGTTTTTGTGGAAATGGCGCGATGATGAAAGGTGTCCCGGGATGGATTTCAAGCCCGTTTTTCGCACGAAGGTTAATATTGCTCTCTGGTCCCCTCGGAAGAAAGTCTCCCTAATCCATGGGGATGGGGCTCCCCCCCCAAAGCACCCCACATTCTCATGTAGAATCGGTAGGTTACGAATCCACTTGGACACCTGAGGAAAGGTTCAGGCTGCGAGCAAGGAGAGTGACAGACCAGAAGCCCGCCAAAAAGCGAAGTTCGAGGGGAGATGGCGGGAAGAAGGTCGCGACCCCGAAACACCTGGGAGTAGGGCCCATTGAACTCGGCGAGGCTTACTTCTGAGCAGCCTTTTTGAGAAGCCATGTTTAGGATTAAGATATGGTGGTTTATCTGTATTCTGTCGATAACTGGCGCTCCCTTCCTGGGTGCAGGAAGCGTTCCTGGACTTGTCACAGCTGGGCTCCTGTTGTTTCGCGTCCATTTGCCTCGCATTAGCCCCTCGTGTTCGCTTTGGGTGTTCCCGCCACACCCCACAGATGACGACCCTCCGGGAGAGTCCTCTGTGGGTGGGGACTTATGAAAGGGTCTCGGGACAATAGGGCGGAGAGCGTTTCCCTGACGGGGAAGTGATCAGGAGGCCTTATATAAGCCTCCGGGGACGGAAACTGACAGTAGCTGAGGTAACCTCAGCTCCACTGTGCCTGAGGAAAAGTTGCTCTTCCTCCGTTCCCTCAGCTCTCTGGCCACAATGCACCCCATGACGAGTCTCCCTGAGCACCTTTTCCTCCAGCAGGTAGCCCCCTCCCCCTCCCTCCCCGAGGCGCGCGCTGCCTCTCACACCCGCCCTGCCTTATTATATCTCCCCACAGGTTCCCGCGCTTTCCGCCGCGCCGAGCTCCTCGATGGCCTCCTCCTCCTCCTCCTCCTCCTTTTCCGCCGAGCCTGGCCGAGGCGAAGGCAGCAGCGAGTCTTTGCTGATGCTCCTAAGGGGCTGCCAGCCCGGGCCCGGCGTCGCCTCCCCCTTCGGCCCGGTCCTGCCAGCGCCGCGCTTCTTCGAGGCGCAGCCTTCCTCGTGCCCTTTCCAGACGCCCCTGGGAGCAGGACTGAGCCCCGGTTCGCCTCGCCTGGCGCCCTTCCCCTTCTCGCGCCTGCCCGCCGCCGCCTTCCTGCCTCCTCAGCTGCTGCCGCCGCCGCCGCCCGGTCCTCCTCTGCCCAGGCCCCAGCCGCTGCCGGTGGTCTTCCCGTCGCCCTTGGCTCGGAAGGGCGAGTCGCCTCGCCGGCGCGTCTCCGAGGGAGCGTCGCCCAAGAAGAAGAGCCCCGACGGAGCTCCGGACGCCGAGCAGCGCGCGCCCACCTACCGCTTCACCGCCCAGGAGCTGCACGCCGTCCTCTACGGGGCCGGGCCAGGAGGGAGGCAGCAGGGCGCCATGGCGGGAGCCGGGCACCCTCCTCGCAGCCCGGGTAAGGAAGGCTCCCGCGCGGGGTTTCCCTACAGCCTGGAGGGTGGAGGGCAGGAAGAAGGCGGGCTTGGGGTGAGAGGGTGGCTGCTTCATAGGAAGAAACTTTTCGACGAGGACGACCAAGTTTGCACAAGAGCTTTTTTTGCGGGGACGTCTCACTGCCCCAACGCGACGCTCCTTGGATAGGAGCGTTTCCTCAAATAAAAGTAAAGCGTGGCGTCAAATGAAATGGCACTTTTCCCCACCCCATTAAATCTGCTCCCAGATTTAAGATCGTTATGAAACTCTTGCCCCCGGGGTTAAATAACAGGGGCAAGAAGAACCCTTCCAATACATTGAATTCTGGGTTTTTGGTGCACACACAGAACGAAAAGTGGCTGAAATTTGCGGGCTGTTTTTATTGGGCAGATGGCAATATCCTAGAAGGACTCTGGTGCAGCCGTGGTCAACTTCTGTCCAAATTTTGCAAAGAAAAGTACACCCCCCTTTTTATATAAAAACCCCCAATGACTGGAATAGGATGGGGGTGGGAGGAGAGAGTGAAGTAGAAGTTCAACCATTAATTGCAGGCAAATTTAAACTGGGTTTTTAAAAATCGGAGCAGTTCTGTGGAAAAACTAGATAATGGCACAGCTGGAGTCAATTTCTCTATTCTATTTTAACCCAACAGTTTATTTTGGCCATGTGTTTACTGTATATTGCTTAAACTGATGAAAACGATTGTATCTATCGGTGATTTTTAAAAAGCATTGGGTGAGGAACTGGTGTAAGTATTTTATTATCGTCCATGTATTGGTTAAATACGTTTTCAAAGCAAAAATGTTTCTGTGGAAGGAGAAACTCTGAATGCTTCTGGAGAGTCTCTCTTGACTCCCTTTTTTGTTACCTTTAATCCACCCCCAAATAAGAGAATCTAATTTTTTCTCAGAAGGGCTCCTCTTGCGAAAGAAGACCCTGATCATGCTGATCATGCTCCAACGTCTTTGCCAGATAAGAGTCAGGAAATCCTGCACTTTAACAGCAGGGCTATGGAATAAATTACCCGCTCACCCCCACTGTAACCATCCACCCCATATGCTTCAGAGAAGTGGTTAAACTGGGGACAGAGTGGGGACCTTTAGATGTGTCTGTGCCCTCGCGCAGTTCTTTCCTAACTTTATCTTGTTGGCACTGAAGGGTGGAGTAGTTTATTTCGGATGTATTACTCCGGTGTAACAGGGTTTAAGTTTTGTAAAGGCACGAATCCTATGCGTTTCTATTCAAATTCCTATGAGGCAAATATTGATTTCAGCCTATTTTATTGCAGGGTCCGTAGACCCGGTGTAACTGCAACCCTCGCTCTACTTTTATGGGAATCGCCTATTTAATTTGGTGGGACTTACTTCTGAGTAGGCATGGTTGGGATTGCGCTGTTACTCCCAGTTGTCTGATTGCAGTACTAGTTCCCCTTTGCTTTCCCGTTAGGCGCAGTTGATGCTCAGCCGCCGCTCCTGGACAGGTCTTCTCTGCAACTCCCCGAAGGTAGCTGCATTTGTTTGGTTTGGCTTTTGTCAAGGGGGTGGTTGGGGAAGAGGGATCAAGGCTGATCCTTTTGAGTTCTCCTAGTTTTCTGCAACCCAAAGACTAATCCCTCTCCCTTCTTCCTCTCTCCTCCCCCCACCCCGCCCCCGTTTCCTCTCTGTAGGGCTAACGGTGTTGCAGACCGTCTTCGAGGACAGTCCGCAGCTGGGAGTCTTCTGCACCGAGACCATCCCTGTCGGCGTCCGCTTCGGCCCTTTCCAGGGCAAAGTTGTCAACATCAGCGAGATCAAGACTTACGATGACAATTCCTTGATGTGGGAGGTACAATTCGCTGATGTACTGTTGCTTTCTTTTCTCCGAGGGGAGATGGGGGGGGGGCTGGAAGCCTCAAGCCACGCCTCTGCATAGCTGATCACCGCGCTTACTACAGTACTTGGGAAACCAGTTTCTCTGGTTCCAAGGGGTCTTACTCCCAGTAAAGTAAACGCGCATGCGGTTCCAGCTTTCTAAGGGAGATAGCGCATTTCCCTCCTCAGCTGGGTGTTTTAGGAAGAAAGCAGTGTGGAGTAATGGTAGAGTGTTGGACTAGGAAGCCCAGGGTTCAAATTTCCGCTGAGCCATGAAACTCGTAGGGTCAATCAGTCTCTCAGCCTAGCCTACCTCACAGGGTTGTTCTGAGGATAAAATGGGGAGGAAGAGGACCGTGAATGCCGCCCTGAGCTTCCTTGTACGGAAGGCGGAATATAAAAGCAAAAACAAAACAAAACAAAAACAAAGGGCGTATGATGCTGGACTCGCATCAACCTCGGGCAGCACGGCCAGTGGTTATGTAAGATGAGTGTTTTAGTCCCATCTGGAAGTCCAGAAGTTCCTCCACGGCTAGAGGAATAGGTGGGCTTGGCTATGAAAAGATCCTGCGCAGATTGATTTAGAAGCAATCCCCATTGCTAGCTCCTAACTAAGCGTGTCCATGAGGATTGCAGTTTAGTGAACGCCAAACCCTTCCTTTCAACGTGAGTGGGGCGAGGGAGCAGGAAGGGGCGTTTAGATTATCCCCCCCCCCCGCCGCCGCCAGGAGCGGCGTTGTCTTCGTGGGTTGCTGCTGTCGCCGGGTGAGCAACCGTGTGTAAAGTTTGTGTGTCCATCCCAACAGATTTTTGAGAACGGCCGCTTGAGCCACTTCATCGACGGCAGGGGCTCCTCCGGCAACTGGATGTCCTTAGTGAACTGCGCCCGCTTCCCCGAGGAGCAGAACTTGACGGCCCTGCAGTGCCAGGGGCAGATATTCTACGAGAGCTGCAAAGAGGTCACGCCCGGCCAGGAGCTGTTGGTCTGGTACGGGGATTGCTACTTGCAGTTCTTGGGCATCCCTATCAGCCTGAAGGGAACGGCGGAAGGCAAGCCTGTCCAGGCGCACAGTGAAGGTCAGTTGGCAACCTTCCAAGGCTCCGTAAGAGTCGCCCTCAGAGCTGTTGCAGCCGGGAATCTGAACGGTCTGCTCTGTTTGCACATTGGCTCTCTCCCCCCACCCCCCAAATACCGCTTGCAAGTTCAAAAGAAGTTAAATGCTTCACTTTATAGTCTGGTTTTCCACTTATAAAACTCCCAGTTCATTGCATTTATTCCTCCTCCTCCTCCCTCTTTCACTTTTTGTGCGCGCTCCTGCTTCTGAAACTAGGTGGCTATAAAACAACCAACCACCCCTGACGGCGGCTTTTTCCTTCCCTTTCTCACCCTCAGAGTCTCTGGAGGGCTATAAGTGCGAGCGCTGCGGCAAGGTGTTCGCCTACAAATACTACCGCGACAAGCACCTGAAGTACACACGGTGCGTGGACCAAGGGGACAGGAAATTCCCGTGCCAGCTTTGCAAGCGGTCTTTTGAGAAAAGGGACCGGCTGAGGATCCACGTCCTGCACGTGCACGAGAAGCACAGGCCTCACAAAGTAAGGGATCGCCAACTGGCGCCGCCGCCTTTCTCTTAGAATCTGGAGGCGGAGAGCCCGCCCTGCCTCGAAGCAGCTGCAGCAGCAGGAAATAAGTGTTTCAAAGAGTGCAGAGTGCCACCCCCCAACCCCCCCACACTTCTCAGGAATGGAAGCAAGACTCGGGGAATGTGGGGGGATGTGTGCGGTGGGGGGGGGTGGCATTGCTGGGCAGGGACATCTCAGGGGGTAGATTCAGGATTGCCAAAGGGAATCGTCCTCAATAAGACGATTCAATTAGCCTTGAATCGTGGGCAAGTTGAACGGTCCGTGTATCTTTCTCTCTCTGTGTGTGTGTGTGTTCTGTGACTTGCTTTTGCGTGATTGTGGTTTCATCCAACGGGCACTTTACTCTCCTGTTTTTAATTTTTAAAAGGTCTTTTGGTCGTTTTCATAAAGGGCTCCGTGCGTGTAGCCTTACTTGGGAGTAAGTCCCATGGATAGCAATGGGATTTGACTTCCGAGTAAACATTGCTTTGTATGGCATCGGGCTTAAATATGGTGTGTCACTAAGGATGCCCTTGAAAGCCTCTGCAGCTGTTACGTGTTGCATTTGTGTATGTGAATGCGGAGGAGTCTAATGGACTGTGATAGGTTGTTCTCCGTTGGCACTTGCTGATTTCGTTTAAGCTCCGCATAAGTAGGTTGAGGCAGAGACTCAGTGCGGTAGTTATCTATTAAGAGTACGTTTTCTTTGCGGTCTAGTTAGAACAGTGGTTCTCAAAGGGTGTGGCAGGAGAGGGTGGCGGGAGGATTCAAATACAATCAATATTATGTTATTATGTGGCTGCATTTCCCCCCTGGGTGTCCCATCATCATATTATAAAGCAGCTGTGTTATGAGTTACAAGTCATGCACTGCTAGGAGTTGCTTCCTTTCCCCTCCCAATGTATTTCTTATCGATAAAAAAATATATATCGGTGCGGCGCCTGCAAATTTTACCTTTGAAAGCGTGGCCCAAAGAAAACAGTCTGAGAACCACTGAGTTAGGGAGTGAAGGAAAACCATGGTGACACTTCCGGGAAGGGGTCCTGATTGTGCCCCCTCCTCCCTCTCTTGGGGAAAAAAACCGCAGAGAGTTCAAGCTACTCTCCTGCTTCACTGCAGGGAGTGATTGCAGCTCCTGGAAACCACAATTGCAAAACGCACCGCCTCTGCTGTTTCTCTGCCCTGAAATCTTTTTTCCTCTTGTTTTGTTGCTGTCCCCCCTTTTTTTTTCTTCCTTTTTAAAAACCATGGTTACTTGCGGTTTATTGAAGCAAACGTTCGGCCTCAGCTCTGGAGCGCACTTGTCTGAAAGCAGACCCAGTTCATTCAAAGCCAATGAGGTTTGCTTGTGACGGTAGTGATCTTCACACAAAACCCCTAGCAATGAAATCGGGTGGAGCGAATTCCTGAGTTCCTCAAGGTAATGGTTCTGGATAGTTCACCTGTTGTGAATTTTAGAAGCCTGGTGTTGCATTTAGTTGCAATCGCACTACACTTCTGGAAACAGAATTACAAAATGGAAAGGTTATGGAACTTTTAAATATAGATAAGTGTGCTTTCTGTCTCTCCTCTCCCCTCCTAGACCTAAGGATTCCACGGCACTGAAATGCCCTGTAGCCTCTCCAGTATCTTCGGTTGGCTGGAATAATTAAAGATGAACTAGGCAAAGGGGAATTCCCATAAGTGCCATATTTTAAAGAGCAGCTCCTTATTTGAATTGTGTTAGAGCTCCTGGCAGGGGGAGGGGAAAGAACTCTCATTTCATAGTGAGAAACTGATCTCACCCACTTTTACTTATAAGTAACTGACAGCCCAGCCTTTATGTATGTATAGAACTATAGACCGAGCCTGCAATCCTATACTTACCTAGGAGTATGTCTGATTAAATTAACTGGGGCTTACTTCTAAGCAGATAGTCTTAGGAATGTGCTCTGAAAAGGTGTCACTTGACTTGATTGCTTTTCCAAACAATAGCTGAGTACTATCTTCCATTTAATAATATACATTCACATCATTATTATCCACTTTACCACCCTGGCTCTTTAGAGTCTATCAACTTCCTTCTCTCCCATCTCATGGCTTTCAAAATTAACCTTTATATCATTACATTTTGTATGTTTTCCAATTCTAATCACACTCATTACAAAATAGCTCAAAATGTAAATAAATAAACTTCTCATTACAAGTCTTCAGATAACCCTGCTAGTGATGTTAATTGCTTACAATAATCTTTCAGATATTGAATAAATTCACTCCAGTCCTTTTGGAATACTTGATGGTGCTTGTTTCGGATTTTTCCTGTCAACTTCGCCAATTCTGCAAAGTCCATCATCTTCATCTGCCATTCTTCTTTCATTGGTACTTCTTGTTGTTTCCATTTTTGAGCTAAAAGAATTTTTGCCACAGTTGTTGCATACATAAAGTTTTTTTATCTTCCCTTCATATCTCTTCACCCATTATACCCAATAAAAAGGCTTCTGGTTTTTTAACAAAAGTATTTTTAAATACTTTAACTTCAATCCAACAGACTTAGGACAGCTTTATAACATTTTAGTTTTTTTCTTGATTTGTGCCACTCTGCCGTAAAACCTGCAGAGAACACCCCAGATGTAGAACCTCCCTCGGGTCCTTTGTTCTCCACAAAGGCTGACAGGAATGGGGAGGAGGGAGGAGCTAGCACATTAACTTAGCATCCAACCATGACTTCTGAACTGAGGCCTGTTCACTAACAACCTCTCATGAACTAGCATTACACCTTCTTCAAGCCCAGCTGGCCATATAAACACAACTTCAACTCAGTTGTCTCATTCCCTATCCTTGAAATCTGATTAAGCGGGAGGAGAAAGTGAGACATCTTCCTTCATTTTCATCCCTTGTTACAGGGACAGAAAGAGGCTCAGCTTGGTAGCAATTAAGTGGTAGCAATTAAGCAGTCCCAGACAATTAACAATGTTAAAATAGTTTTGTAAAATAGTTACAAACTGTAAGTGCACCTCCCCTTACATGCATCCCACTCGGAAACCTCATAATGATAGATAGATAGATAGATAGATAGATAGATAGATAGATAGATAGATAGATAGCTAGATAGATAGGCTTCTCCTTGTTTGGGGCTGCTGCCCAGAAGTTGCTGCCTCAGCGAGGGAAGGTGGCCTTTGATTGACTAGTGGCTTCTCCTCACCTCCATTGTAGGTCCATGAACCCATCCTGGTACCAGTTACGTTGGGCGCCCTTCTCTGCCCTGCCCTCTGTGGTCAGCCACTGCTGCTGCACACACTGGCCCCCCTCAGATAGGCAGGCTCAGTTCAGGCTAGGCAGCTGCCCCAAATAATGAGTCTCTCTCCCTCCCCTTCCTCCCTGCATGCCCTCCTTATTAAAGTTAGCTGCTCCCCACTTTACACGATTTCACTTACGCGTGCGAGGGCCCGGAACACCTGTATATGTGTGTGTGTGATCAGCCTCTGCTTTAACATATCAATGCTTTGAAAATGCGCGAAACTATATAGTAGGCACCGATACTCCAGTATTGGACAAGACTACAGGCTTATGCCAGAGTGTTTTGTGGGGGATGGGGGGAATCAGACTCTCAGGCCTTGTTATCACTGTGCACCCAAGTGCCCACAAATAGATCAGAGCATCTTTATATGGGAATCTGCAAATCAGTGTGTAGGCTTCAAGCCTACACAGCAAAGGCACGTAGTACAGGCAGGGGCTGTGGCTAGAATAATCTTCTTGGCATGATTCATACATATAGGTTGAAACCTTTTATATTTCTACATTCTACATACATTATTTTTTATATATAAAAAAGCACATTATCAATTATGTTTGCCTTGTTTGTCTTGTCTGTATTCCTATCTAAATCTCTTGTCTTGTTATCTAAATGTGCATACATGTTGCATGCCAGCAAAAATGTCTGTAACTGTTGCTGCAGCCACAAAACTGTCCTATGTGTTCTCTTTTTTCAGTGTTCTATATGTGCCAAAAGTTTCTCTCAGTCTTCCAGTCTAAACAAGCACATGAGAGTACACTCTGGAGAAAGGCCCTATAAATGTGTGTATTGCAACAAGGTGAGGACAACCAGACCCTTTGCAGTTCCCTTGAAGTTTTAGTTGCTTGTAGGATGTTGCGTTCTCTGGCATGCTCAGTTTAATCTGTTTTAATTCTGAATTTAACGTTGAGCCCCAACTATGTTAGATGTAATGCAGAAGACACACGGCAGGTCTCCCAACATATGCATTTGTTATTACTGCATCTGGGAAGGCATGGAAATACAATGTTTTCTATTTGCAGTGAACTGGAGTCCCAGCCTCCTTAGGTGAATATAAGGCTATCTGAGTCCCACACCTGAACAGACTGTTATAAAACAGTGGTGTGGTTGATTAAATTTTAGGCTCTGGATTTAACATTCTTGCAGCCCTCTTCCACTTAGATGATAAATAATTAAAGTGGTAAGGCAGCCCTGCTGCCCCCCCGGGGGGGGTGGGTTTGCTGAGTGGGACCTTGGATTTCTTCCTCAAAGTCCTCCCTTAACAGCATCACAGACTGCAAAACAAAATATCACCTTTTGATAGTTGCCGTGACTGACTTGTAAGTTGATTTGTCACATGTGTTGCCTGCCGGCCCTTTAGGGGAGCTTGTGGAAATGCATATGGAGCGAGTCCCCTTTTTATTTCCACTACAATCTTGTGAACTAGGCTTGTCTGAGAGATAATGATGACTTGCTCAAGGCTATTTACAGAATGCCATAGCTTGGCTGTGATTTGCAAATAGCTTCCCACATCCTGCCTTCACTGGCTGTGAACGTGTGAGGCTGGGATTTTATCTGCCATATATAAGACCCAGCAAAAGCCCAATTGGTTCTCCTGCTGTAGAAACAAGCATCGTAACTTAATTACAATTTTGTGAGCATGTCATTCCTTTCATCTTGTTTGTCACTTGTAGCTTTGTGTGTGAATGCTGTGTGTGTGTGTCTGTGTTTGTGTGTAAAAGCTTTTTATGCCACCTGAAATCTAAAATAATCTTGCTTAATTATTAATGTGTCTAGCCCTGTCTTCTTTAGTTTGGGTGTCTATCTGAGCTACGTTTTTTTATCTATAGGAACTTGCATCTAACAATTTCCTTATCCCTTTCTATTCCCACCCCACCAACAATTCATTTTGTTCACCATCTCCATAGGCATTCACCGCCTCCAGCATCCTGCGTACCCACATCCGCCAGCATTCAGGAGAGAAGCCTTTTAAATGCAGACATTGTGGCAGAGCATTTGCTTCCCATGCTGCCCATGACAGCCATGTGCGGCGCACACATGGTGCTAAAGACAACTGCCGCACCTGTACTTTGTGTGGCAAGACCTTTTCAGAGGTAGAAGAATTCCGCTTCCATATGAAGTTTCACACAGGCCATTAGCCAGAAAGCTAACGAATAGGTTGCAAACCATTTGGACATCTGTTTGGCATTTTCTGCAATGTGTTGGTTTTCATGTAGCACTACCTACCCAATAGAGATAATGAGAGATACAACTACATACAACTGCTCAGGATGTGATCTTCACCCATTAGTACAGGCATGAGGAACCTATCCCCATGCTCTGAGGGCTACATTCTCTAGGGCCAAAGTGGTGCCACACTATTTTCTGCCCTGCTCAAAACACACACACTAATCACTCCCCCGTTCTCGGCCCCCACCCTTTCAGCTGATTTGTGCAAAACAGCTGAGCAGTGCTAAATCATTCATTCCCTTAGTGCAAAATTTCTGCTCATGCAACAGAACTCTCCCCTCTTCCCTTCACATGCTCCCCAATCTTTTATGGGGGTTCTCCTAATTCTTGAACAAATTGGGGAGGAGAAGGGGAAAGTTCCATTGTGCAAGCATAAATCGTTGAGTAAATGGAATGAGGGCTTTAGACAACGCTCTTAACATTGGAGTGGGGATGAAAACCAGCCATTCCTTGACTGATCCCACCGTAATCACCTCAGGAATCAGCCATTTTCAACCCCATCACAGTGTGTTAGGAAGGGAGGTTTTTCAACACACTTGCACACCCTTCCCAACACATTGTGATGGGAGAATGCCCATCAGTTGATTGGATCCTATAAGATGTGGTGGTGTGAAAATGACCTTCCACTCCCTTTGGCTAAGGGGTGGGGAGAACTTTGTTTTTACCTGCATTGTGAAAGGTGGAAATGAAAACCAGGTTATCCTGATCACCTGAGGAGAGGGCCTGGTTTCAGGCGAGTGCTAGGGCAAAAAACTACTGAGATGGAGATTACCCAGAAGAATCCAGAAAATTTGATCCTGAGATGCCAAAGACATTTTAATAACCACCTATGCCAAATTAAAACACAATGTTTAATTATGGCAAATATTTCTGCACTTCCAATACATTGTATTTGCTGTTAATTTTAAAAAAGAGAGACTGTATGTAATTTTTGCTGGCTCATTTCTATGTTTTTGTGCTGCTAGAATTTGTTGAAAGGTTTGTCAATGTGAATGTGTTTCTAGGGGTATTGGGTTGTATTCAGTGGTGTTGCTCAGTGGATGTTAAGCCTTCTGTCAGCAGAACAGGGAAGGAAGCAGTTTTCAGCAATTTCCCCTGCTCTCTGCCCCCCCAAATCTTCACTGGAGCAAATGGGGTGGTGGCAAGGGGAGGGAGAATTGCTAAAATCACTTCCAATCCTGTTCTGTTCTTATTACAGTTACCCACAAAAAGGCTAGTTGTGGTGTTACTAGCTGCCAGCCATTCACTCATCTGTTAACTTACTGCCCCTTACCTGTCTGCTTGGACACTTGTTGGCTCTATGTCAAGGACGCTGTCCTTTGGGCTCTAAGCTATTGCCCACCTCCCTTCCTGTCCAGTGTGCCAGCCCATTTGTCACCTAGGGCATTCACCAGCTCATTGCTGGAGAACAGAGTGGCCACACATCAGCAGGTATATTTCTTTTTAAAATTACACTATTTTTGAAAATGTGCGCAATTTTCTTTAACAAATCTCAAAATTCATCCCGTGCTTAATACTGAGGCAACACTTTTAAACAATAGCTTATTGGCACTCTTGAAGTGGGGAAGGAAATACAAAGTTTATGAAGTATTGTTAAAAAAAAATCTACAGCAAATTGTACTTTATATAAGCTTTGCGCATAAGTATAAGAAATATGGGCTGGAATGTTTGTGATTATGGTTTGAGAGTTGCCTTACTCTTTAAATACGGTGTGACTGTGTGTTGCTGTTGGAAGTGAAATGTAATTTTACATTTGGGTATACAAATGTTAGTGACTTGCACTGATCTATTTATTATTGCTGCTCAAAATGTTGTCTTGTCTTGTTTTGGTGGGTAAAATGAAATCCTGTAAGCATAAAATATACATAAAAATTCTTTACATGAATGTTAAGATTTGTAGAGTACGTGGAAGATTGAATGGCTAGAGTTGTGTTTTAGCTTTGTTTCTTGCCTTTTGCATGTTTGTCTATGTTTTGTAATATTTGAACAGATGTGATGTAAGCTGTGGCATTAAGATCCTTGGGGACCTCAGATGTAATGAACTGCTGTATGTGGTGCGGCCCTTGGAAAAGGTTTTGAATTTTGGTACTGTAGTTAGTTCAGAGCACAGTTGCTGGGCCTGACATTGCAGGTCTTAGCTTGCTAGTGCTCAAATGTTTCCAACTGAGCTCAATTTGTACTTTGCTTTCAACTTCCCCTACATGGTTTGGTGTAAGCTGAAGATAGTTCTGGATCATCTGATAGATGCTTTTCTGTAGATCTGCAAGGATTTCTGACTCCCAATTTGTTTGAACATTGGCACCACTAACAAAATGACCTTCCCCACCTGAATTAGGCTACGAAATAAAGAGAGCTACACAGAAATAATGTGAAAACGATGAATAAAGTTAAGTTCTGGTACTGGGAAAAAAATGCCTAGGCTCAGAATGTACTCAGAGGCACCCTCCCTCTCTTTTTTACTTAAAAGGTTTAGTCTGGCTCTTGCTAGTAAATTTTGGGATTCTACTAAAAAACAAAGTAGTTCCAACAAACCTGAAGTCTGCCCAATCCTAGGTTATGACCCACGTACTACTTGTTCTGCCTCCTTTCCAACCAGTCTGCATGATCTCTGAATCTGCCCATCTGTTCAATGTTTTGTTCTGACACTATTCTGTTCTAGTTTTTGTGTGTTGCTTCTGTTCTGATTTTTATGTTTGATTTGTGTTTTTTACTTATGAAATGTCCTGAATGCTTGATGTAGAAGAGTGGGATAAAAATAAATTTTATTTAAAATCTAATTAGCTACCTAGTCTTTTATTTGCTATCAATAGGCCCAGAGTCATGACATACATTTTCCCTAGAACCAGACTGCAGAAATAACTTGAAAAACCTAAAACGCATTGACCAATTATGCATCATGAACAATTATGACATTAGTTCAGGACTGAAACAAGTACCCTGGACAGCTCCATGGGCCAATCAGGCAGAAACTTTGTAGAAGCAAGTTTTAATTGTTCCTGGCAAGAAGCAACAGCTCTATAGGTGTTCTTCAGTGTGAGAAGTCTCTTCCGTTAAAGAGGCCTCTTCCAACAATGTTTTTGATTTAAGCAGAATTTAAAATAGAAGAATGTGTGTTCTCTGTTGAAATGAGACTGGGAAGAAAAAAATGACAATCATAGTCAACTCCCCATGTATAAACTTTAATTAGTGTTTGTACAAGATAGGTGTGTGTTGCATGCATTCTTACTGTTTTTGCTTTAAACTGGCTTGATCTCTAAGGGTCACTTTAAATTACAATTTTAAAAGAATTTTCAGTTAGAATTTGCTGTTTGTTTTGGCTTTAAACTGGCTTAATCTCTAAGGGTCTCTGTAAATTACAATTTTAAGAATTTACTATTAGGAAATGCTGCTTGTTCTATATATTCATAACAGGAAAAAGGGTAACTTATGGTAAGCCCATTACTCTGGTATTTTCCTCAAAGGATTGGGATTCTTCTTTGAATTTAACAGCTTATACTTAAATTTATCACTAGGTAATGCAGAAGCACCTGAAGTAATCTGTTTGTCCTTTCACAGTCCAGGGGACTTGCTCCAAGTGTATGTTTTAGATGTTCCTCCTTAAATTAATTTTCTTACCATACTTTTTGACATAAACACATCAACCTTTTAAAAAGGTAGCTTTTGATTCATGCCCATTCAGTACCCATCTTGTACAGTGTACAGAAACTAAGGTGCCTATGTATAAACTCTTGTAAAGTGTGTATATGTGAGATATATCTAGCTGTATTAGACAAGATGGTTTTCAGTTTTTCTTCTTGTTCAATCAGTATCCAAACATAACCCTAAAGCAGAGCAGGGAATTGTATTGGGTCAAATGGAAAGAAGCAGCTGCAGAAATGGACACAATATATAATGAAGCAGGAGGGGACCCTTTCTATTTTATTTAATTCATATAATTTATACTGTTTGATTTTTAAAAAACAACAGCCTCTGAGTGGTGATGGCTTCTTTAGCTACATCTTTAAAGGATGAGTGTTTGTGTGTGCAATTAGCTGAGTTAAATTGGGAGATATCTGGGTTGCACTTAATTAATTTTTAAATTGAATATATTTATAGCCCTCCTTTTCCCCCAAAACTGGGATTCAAGGTGGCTTATAATATTTAAAAAGAGCACAATAAATAAAGTAATAAAACAAACTACTTGCAAACAATAATTAAAATACCTCAAAACACATTTAAAACCAGTTTGCCCTGACAGCAGCCCAGTGAACAGCATTGTCTACACCTTAATTATCAAACTTCTGTCTAAGAAAGATTTCATAAAGGGCCCGTTTACCACTTCCTCCATAATTCAAAGAACATTCTATGGGAAAGTCAGGAGGGGACCAAAATTAAGTGTAATAATAGTGGCTGAGTCTGTGGTTAGCTCAGATGTCTGTTCTCACTTTTCTGCTTTCATTTTTAGTGGGAATGTTAGTGCACAAGTATCCTTGCAGCTCATTCTCCCCCCCCCAACAGATGTTGTTGGTCAGTCAACCATTAGTGTACAGTTCAGCACTGACTCAGAGGTAGCTCAAATTTGAGGCCACTCTCTTTGATTGCTAGCTTGCAAATATTAGATGCTCCAAAGGCCAAGAGGAGAATAGATTGTAACAAAATGCTGGATAATACACATTTCTCATTGATTTATCTCTGGAAAACCTGAATGTAGGCATATTTCCACATTCTCAACTTGAGGTGTTGAATATCTTTCTTCGATCTGTTGATCCATTGAAGAAAAGTACTGCACAAGTTCCAGGTGAAAGTCATCACAGTGAAACTATTCCAATTATTATATCATTATACAAATTTATAGACTACTTCCTGGTATATAAAGACCACTGAAGCAGTTTACAGGTAAAAACAAAACAAAACTTTAAGAATAATAAAATCAATTCAACAAACTTTATAAAGAAATAACACCATCAATGCAAACTCCAAAAATCATGAAACATGTCATCAGATATAAGAGTGATATTCTATAAATGGTTGGGTTACACAGCAAGGGAAGCTTCCTAAACAAACCCGTAGAAAAAGAACTTATTTTCACTGTTTTGCATTCTACCCACAAGAGTATTTTAAATGTAAAACAAGAAGTGATCTAAGCACAAGCCGCAGAGGCTTCTGGCAATCTCAGATGTTTTGTTGAGATCTTAAACAGGGATGGGATGGGGATTGTCTCCCTGAAACATGAATGACAATAGAGCAGCTAAAACAGTAATATGGCCCTTAAAGCTCAGGCTGGCCACTTGCAGCACAACAAAAGCCATCCCAGTGACATCTGCTGCCCTTTAGCTGAGTCCAGCATGACACCAAATGTTCAGATGTTTTCCTCCTCTTTCCCTGCCCCCCCCGCCAATAGCTCTTGTTCTACTGTACTAAATGGGGTGGGGTGGAGAAGAGAATAAAAGGAGGAGAGTTGCTTCTCCCCATGGAATGGCAGAAAGCAGCCAAGAGATTAGTGAGCTACAGATAATGCAGCAAGCAAATATTGATTAAACCAAACTGTTCATTAAACCAGGAAAATCATTCTACACAGTGTGCCTCCCAACTCTGGTGTTGGAAGAGACCAGTATTCTCAGATGGTGGATTCTGAAGGGTTGGTTGGACGTAGGGAGAGGAGTCATTCCCTTCCCTACCCCCATTTATGGGGCTGTTTGAGGAAATACTAATTTGAATGAGGCACAAGAAGGTGCAGACATTTCCATGAACATGGCAAATGGAGAAAAAAGTGTGGTCTAAATTGTAGGACTATGTGCCACAGTCTCTGCATAGTCCTCCTAGTCCCCAGGGTTACCGTGTGTCTCCTTTTGAAGGGCTGTAGCAAACCTGCCTCATGTTACATAAAAAAGATACCAACTTTAGAGGTCAGTCCTGTGTTTGAAAGACCCTGAGAGATCCAGTCCAAGGTTTAAAGATAAAACACAGATGGGCCACTTATGGTTCTTTCATCAGCTGGGCAACAGACTGAGCAGGCATGCAAGTCACCAGGTTTTGGTCTTCTCCACTATGGCAGGATGTATTGCATTTCTGTTGAAATTATAATAAATTATTCCTGAATTTGCATCTATGCACTTATTTAGAAGATTTATAAATGGGTTAATCAAAGAAATTAACATATGCAAATCTATCTTTTATTATTACAATTAGTTGGATCTTGCCTTTCATGATGTAAACTCTACCAAGGGAGCTTACAAGTAACATTCAGTTACATAGTTTGTAAGCATAATAAACAATATTAACCTCTTAAAAACTCATTGGAATCATTCCCACAGGACAGTTGGTGGAAGATCACCCTGTGGGAAGGAGAGTGCAGCTGGACCAGTCCCTGAGAGGTGGTCTTCACCTCCAGCCCTCTCTTTCAGAATTCTTCCCACAGGGCAGTTTTTGTCCTCTTTTGGGTGACGCATCTCTCTGTGTGTATGTCTTTTGGTGATGCATAAGTGGCCACCTTGCAGTTTATGCTAACTCATAGAAAGCTGCCTTAGACTGAGTTGGACCATTATCCTGACTGGCCATTGCTCTTTCTTAAAGGGGTCTTTCCCAGTCCTACCTGCAGATGTCAGGAATTGAACCTGCAACCTTCTTCATGCAAAGCTTTCCTACTGAGTTATGGCTAGAGCCTATTAGAAAAGGAAAGGAAGGACAACCCACAGGCCTGGTGAGCCCAAGGCTTTCACATTAGGAGCACTATGCTCCAAGCATAACACTGAGCTGTGAGGTAGCAATGGAGAAGTTTGGGGGTGAGTTCTATTTTTTAGAATAAATGACTGATAAGTGACTGATGGTCACTGTATCTACAATGTATACCGATAGTGGCTTTTTTTACTGTTGATATTAGTATTCTTTGTGTATCGTTTTTTTCTCTTTCTTTTTTCCTTTCCTTTAATCCCCCCATGTTTTTTCCTTTCTCTCCTTTTCCTTGTTAAATTTGCTAAAAAAAAATTTTTATAATCAACTACTAATGCAAGTAGTACAATGCCAAATACAAATTCCACTTACTAGGCACAGCTATTTCCCCTTAGTATGGACCCTTCCCACAGTCCATTATTATGAAAAGTGATTCTTTGGTGGTTGTTTTTAAGTTGCAAGTCTCTGCTCTGCCGGCATAAAGTTGAAAGCCAGGTTCTTAGCAGTCTTCTTGCCAGAAAGCCAATACAGTACAATGGCTAGAGTTTTACTTCGGAGTAGGTGGCTCCATTTCTATTGCCTGCTTAGCTATGGAGCTCTCCTTGTGCAGGGATGGAGTTTGGTCTTTCAGCAGCACCCTGTGTGAGGCAAAAATCTGGCGCCTCTCCGCTTCTTGCCTTTTGTTCTGCTCAATTCACTATGTCATAGTTGCAATGCCCTGTGGCGCCCCCTAGGCTCAGCGACGAGTGCAGGGGAACTGGTTGCACTGCCCTAAATCTGCCTCTGCCTTGTGCAAGTCATTCTTTGTGTCTCTTATTAACTTACCGTATTTTTCGCCCTATAGGGCGCACCGGCCCATAGGGCGCACCTAGTTTTTTTGGGGGGGAAATAAAGGGAAAAAAAATATTCCCCCCCAGCCCCCAGAACAGGCTGCTATCCGCAAGCCTTGGGAG